AAATCAGTAACATCTATTAACTCCCCCTTCCCCACGCCCGACAAGCAAAACAGCTGAATGTCTCTGGGGTTTATCCAGTTCCCCAAGGATTAAACAGTTCTTAAAGTCTTCTCTGCTGTGGCTGGCTCGCTGGTTCAAACTATTTTTAAACAAAGAAATAAAAGGTATGCTACCCATGTCATTCCGTGAGACAGATGTGGTTTTTACCCCACAAATTGACAAGGAAATATCAAATGAGGCAATTTGAGGCTGCACTAATTTACTATTGTTAAGGTGTGGCACTGTAGGATCAGCACCGTACAGTGAACCACAAGGTTGGAAGTTCAAATTCACCAGCTGCTCCTCAAACCCTATGCAGGGTTGCCATGAGTTGACACCGACTAGATGGCTCTTGACAACAACTCTGCATTTTTGTGTCCTGTATAGGGTTTCTTAGGAGTGGCTGGTGGGTATGAATCACCAGTTGTACAGTTAACTATCCGATATTTATCCTATAGTACCACGCCAGAACTCCACAGTTGTTGTTGTTGTTAGGTGCCATTGAGTCTGTGCCGACTCATAGTGACACTATGGAAAGAAGAACAAAATACTGCCTGATCCTGGGCCAACCTCACTATTGTTGCCACGATTGAGTCCATCAGTGCTGCCACTTGGCCAATCCATCTTATTGGGGTTCTTCCTCTTTTTCTCTGACCTTCCAACTTACCAAACATGATATCCTTCCACAGCGACTGGTCCCTGCTGACCATATGTCTGAAGTATGAGAGACTCCACAGTAAAAGACCTTTATTTAAAGTGTTAAGAAACTTTAACATAGACATTGAGTGCCTATAGCATTGCATTGGTTTGTTGAAACAGCTGAATTGGTAGTCCATTAATTCCTGTTGTTAAAGTGCCGTCAGGTCAGTTCCCACTCAAAGCTACCCTGTATCAGGTTTCTAAGGAGCAACTGGTAAGTTGAACCACCATCCTTGTGGTTCGCAGTCCGATACTGATCCTGCAGCACTACACCAGGAATCCCATCAAATTCTAGAGCCTTGTTTTTCTCCAGTATCTTTAGTAAAGTTTGGAGTTCTTCCTTCAATACTGTAGGTTCTTAGTCATATGTTCTTGCATAGAGAAGATTGCAATTATTGAGATGAGACAAAGTGTCTAATTTTTTAATGTAAAGCTGGTGATCTTGTTTGTAAACCTTCAGCAATTCACAAAAGTTTATAAAAAAGTAACAGATTGTGCTGGCAAAACTGGATATCCATTGGCAGAAAAACAAAACAAGATTCATGCCTCATACCATATGTAAAAATGAATTCAAAATGGGCCAAAGGCCAAACTATAAAATTGAAAACTATGAAGATTATCAGAGACAACATAGGAGCTTAACTTAACTTAATGGCATAAAGCAGCTACAGACTTAACAAGGGAGTAATCTGAAAAAATTATAGAAAACTTCAACACCTCAACATCAAACAGACAAAGAATCCAATTAAAAAATGGGCAGAGAACATGAACAGACAATTCATAAAAAAAAAATTAAGGTGGCCAGCAAACATATGAAGAAATGTCAAGATTATTAGCCATTAGAAAGATGTGAATCAAAACAACAATGAAATATCACCTCACCAAGCAATAATAGCTAAGTGTAGTAAGACAGAAAACCACAAATGCTGGAAAGGATGTCGAGAAATTGAAACTCTCAGACACTGCTGGGAGAAATGTAAAATGGTGCAACCAGTATAAAAATTGTATGATGCTTCCTTTAGAAAGTTATAGGAAATAGAAATGACATTTGATTCAACAATCCCACTAAAGTGTTAAAAACTAAGAAGTGACCAGATATGAAGGTGCTTCAAAAAATTTGTGGAAAAATTCCATTACTTTTTCATTCAAATTTCTCACAACTGTTGAAGCTCCCTCATATATGTATACCCATGTTCATTGCAGCATTATTTATAATAGCAAAGGTGGAAACCCCCTCACTGCCCATTAATATATATGAGGATTAACAGATTGTGGTACATACATACAATGGAATATTAGTAGTGTGGGATTTTTACTTTGAAAACTAATGTTATATAATTCTGAAAACTTTAGTTCAATGGAAAACACGCCCAAACAATTTGATGTAAAATATGTAGTGATAAAAAAAAATTAATGTAAATTCCTGCTGTTTAAGCTGAAAATTTAAACCAAGAGTGAAGGCGGAATTGTTCACTCAAGATGAAACAAAAATTTTTATCAACCAAAAGCACCACAGAGATACAAAAGGATGTGTAAAATGTAGGGCACTGTGGAGTTGCTCACAATTTGCCCCATTACGTTACTGAATTGTTATTATTTTTTGTCTCTTTTCCATTCTCTCTGAAACCAGGCATTGTTTGTTTTTACTAGTAGCTTGGCCAAATAGGTGAAGAGCAGTCTTGAAACATTGAAATTGATTATTTTAGCTGTAAGGTTTTAAAAAGACCATACATTGAACTAATTGGTTCTGAGTTAGAATTCTGCTTCTGTTACTTTCTGACTGCTTAGTCTTATGCAAGTCATGTTAGTTTGTGAGTTTTTTTTTAAATTACTAATGCAGTTGATTATGTTTTCATGTTTACTGACAATTTGTATCTTCTGTGAAACGACTGTCTTTTACCTGATGTTTTATTGGCAAATAAAAAGAGATAATTGCACAATGGAAGGTGTATATTAAACCTCAGGATAATTTTTATCATCAGTTGGATATATATTTTCATTTTTGTAATGCCTACAGTTTTTATATTTGATCATATATGTTTGTCAATTCCTCTTGGACTGACAGCAAGTCAAAATTAAATGAAATAAGTCAATTATGTGAATTTATTAGAATAATGAGTTGGAAAATTAATATAGCCACTAAGGCCATTTCAGTCTTATTTTTTATAGTATTAATTTTTAACAATTATTTCAGTCTTTGACCTTAGTACTAATTCTTTGTCCCTTCTTTTCTTAAGCTGTGGTAGCAAACAGTGACGAATCTCAACTTCTAACGCCGGGTAAGATGAATCAGCGCCAAGGAAAAGAAGCCTATCCATTGCCAACCAAAGATTTGCATCAGCCATCTCTTAGTCCAGCAAGTCCTCATAGCCATGGTAAGAATCTCTGGTTTTTAAGGTTTTTATGGAGGGCAGGTAGAGGGAGAATTTACATTTTGGAATTGTTATAACTATTAAAATGTAGTGGTATCACATTGTGCCTTTAATTTGCATTTCCCTGATTTCTAATGATCTTGAGCATCTTTTTATATGCTCATTAGCCATTCATTCATATATCTCTTGTGAAGTGTTATTTCTAGTTTTTTGTCCATTTGAAAAATTGGGTTGTCTTCTTATAATTGTTAATACTATTGATGACATTCCAATATCATCCTTTGCTAATGGTTTCTTTGAAAGAGCAGTTTTTATTTTGATTAAGTCCATTTTTTTTCTCTTATAATTCAAGCTAATAGTTTTTATCTTTACTAAAAAATATTCTTATACTCAAGGTTAATAGCACATTTTCTGTGATTTCTTCTATAAGTTTTACAGTGTCAAGGTTCTGATCTATCTCTTAATTTTCATTTTTGCTCTTGGCATTATAAGTCCGGTCCTAATCATTTCACACTTAAATAATACCACTGCCTCCTAGTTACTATTAGGACTCTGACCTCCAGTATCCCTGGCTAATTTTTCTTACTAAAACAAGAATTGTGCAATGTTAAGTAATATTATGATGGAATTAGTGTTATTATGAAGACCTGGTGTGGCACGGTAGGATAAGCTCTGGACTGCTAACTGAAAGGTCAGCAGTTCAAATCCATCAGCTGCTCCTCGGAAACCCTAAACTATGACTCAGAACTGACTTGACAGCACTTAGCAACAAGAAGTATTCTTATAGATTTACCTGGTCAGGGAACCCCCGGGTCTTAAGAGGAAGGTCTCTGAGGGAAAGGGGAAATGGCAAATGTAAATAAAAATACCACTTTTTATTATTCAAGATTATAGTTGGAAAATCATTTAGAGTTCTCCATTTATGCCACACTCATACTCAAACAAGCAGTAGCTTACTATTGCCAAGAGCTGTGACTCCTAAGTTTGTTGTACCTGAGAATCACCTGGGAACTTTGCTTAGATACAGATTCTACTCCAACCTTCAGAATCTCTAGGGTGAGGCTCAGTAATTTGTGTGTTTATAAAGCTCTCCAAGTGTTTCTGATGCAGCAACAAGTAGAAACCAACAGTTGAGAGAATCAGTTCTATAATTCATAATCTGGCAGGCAGGTGTCTATGATATCACCCCTACCCTTCTAATTTTATCTTGTGTTTCCCATCATGATAAATCTAAGTAGATGTCTTCATGATTCTCCAGCAAGGCTGTGCATTTATCCTGGTCTTCCTCCTCTCTTTCCCTTGCTTATGCAAGTACTTCTCATTCTTAAAAAGCTCATCGCATTATCCCGCTTCTTATGTCACTGCTTCTGTGATGTCATGATAGGCTGCTTTGTAATGTTTTTATAATATGTACAAGGGGGCTTCAGAAACTTCATGGGAAAATTCCAGTATCTTTTAATGCTACTTTTCCATGGACTTTTTTAAACCCCCTCATATGTGTTGTTTTTTCCCAAAAAGAAGTTCTCCAAAGAGAGTTACATTACTTAAATTATATACTTGGTAAGTGAATGAACACTTATTGTTAATTCAGGAATCTCTGTTGACATTTCTAAATGTTTGAAGGAAGAAATAAAATGTTTCCTGAAGCAAAATATATATATATAATACAACATTTCTTGAGTGAATAATGGATGGTCGATTTTCATGAGAATTAGAGAATGAAAGTTCAGTTTTGGAGAGGATTGTTTATCTCTTAGGAATGGCCAATTGACTCCATGATATTTTGTGTGCGTGTGTGTGAACTGAGTGTTTACAGAGTATATCCTAGGGTTTTGCATTCAATAAATAATACACTTATTTTCATATCGATAATTGCAGACCTCTCACTTATCCTCCTTCCTCCATGTATTTCTTGTTTGCATTCCACCTTCTCCAATCTTTCTGAATTTTGTTCTTAGGTCAGTGCTGTCCTTTTTATCTCAAATGGTTGACCATTTCTTTGGTGTGCATACCTTCTTACCCCTGTAAACCCCCCTGTATACCTATTGAGGCCACTTTTTTTTTTTTTTTAAACTAATTCTATTTAGGTTCGTCAAGGATCTTAACATTTTCTTGTTGCATTCCACCTTCTTTCCCAATCTTTCTGAATTTTGTCCTTAGGTCAGTGTGGTAAGAAGGCTGTTCTTCAGACATAGAGCAAATACTGTGTACATAAATCCAGAATTGGTACTAGAGAACTGAAAATATTACTGAAGCATTGAAAACTATTGGGGAAAAGTTGAGAGACAGGCAACCGCTCAATCCTAAAGGGCCTCTGTTATGGTAATAAATTTAAAACTTTATTTTAAGGATTATATGTTTGGTAAATTGTGTTTCTAAAAGTGCTCATAGCAGTAGCTTCCATCCAGTTTGTTTGCCCTGTGACTGCTTTTACCAATAAAATGTTAGGGAATGGACTTCCTGGACTTTGAGTTGAAAGATTAGAAAAGCCTGTTGTTGTTAGCTGCCACTGAGTCAGTTCTGACTCGTCATAACACTATGTACAACAGGATGAAACACATCCTCACATTTGTTGGTATGTTTGAGCCACAGCCATTGGGTCAGTCCATCTCATTGTGGGTCTTCTTTTTGCTGACCCTCTATGATACCAAGCATGATGTCTTTCTCCAGCCACTGGTCCATCCTTATAACATATTTATAGTGTGTAACATGAATTTTCACCATCTTCCTTTCTAAAGAGCACGGTGACTGTACTTTTTCCAAGACAGATTCATTCATTCTTTCTGAAAGTCCATGGTACATTCAATATTTTTCACAAGCATCATAATTCAAATGCATGCATTCTTCTTTGGTCTTATTTATTCATTTTTCAGCCTTTGCATGTATATGAGGTGACTGAAAATACCATGGCTTGGGTCAAGTGCCTCTTCATTATCAAAGTAACATCTTTGCCTTTTAATATTTTAAAGAGATATTTTTAGCAAATTTGCCCAGTGCAATATGTTATTTAATCTCTTGAGTGCTGATTTCATGGCATGAATACAGGTAAAATGATATTCTTGAAAAAGTCAATGTTTTTTGCATTTATCATGTTGTTGCTTATTGGTCCCGTTTTGAAGATCTTTGTTTTTCGTTTTGTTTGTTTTGGTCTATGTATAAGTTCCACATGAGCACAATTAAGTGTTCTGGAATTTCCATTCTCCGTGCTTTCCATAAGTTGTCTCACACGTGAAATGCCTTCGCATATTTGGTAATATACAGTAGACATCTTTCTGGTATTTTCTGTTTCCTGCCAAGCTCCATCGCTGATAATCATAAATGGTATCTGTCATTCTATGTCCTCTTCTGAATCCAGCTTGAATTTCTGCCACTTTCCTAGCATGATACTGCTGCATCCATTTATGAAGCCATAATCTTCAGCAAATGTTTACTTGTGTGTGGCAGTAATGATATTTTTCAGTAATTTCCTCACTCTGTTGGATCACCTTTCTTCAGAATGGGCATAAATATTCATCTCTTTTAGTTGATTGGCCAGGTAGCTGTCTTCCAAAGTGTCACTACTTCTGTTTTTGCATTCTAAAGGAAACCAGCCAATATGTACAAAATTTGACTGCCTTGAGACCACTGGACTGTGATGAAGACCGAGCCAGCAATGTCGAGAGGCTCCATATAGGGAAGGAGGAAGGGAGAAAGGGCCCTTTTCTAAACCTAATTTTCCCACCTTGACCATAAACTACTACCCTCAGTAGAAGACAGTTAGCTTATTTGCGTTCTCAACTCACTGCCATGTAGTTGATTCTGATTCGTAGTGATTCTTTATGTTGTTTCTGAGGCAGTAAATTTCTCTCAAGGAATGTCTAGTGAGTTTGAACCACTGACCTAGTGGTTAGCAGTCCAGTACTTATACTGTAGTGCCTTACTGGAGCTAATTTACATAGTATCAACCAATTCCACATGATTTTGGTTGATACTATGCATCTTATTTGCATAGTAAACTGTCCAGTTCTTTACATGAATTGGCTTAACAGATCATCTTGACAGAACTACAAACCCAGGGACAGAAAGAACATATATAAAGAGAAACCCATTGCATTGGAGGAAGCAAGTGAATAAGTAATTGAAGAAAGATAGAGGTAAAAAGACTTTTTTCTTCTAAAATAAGAGAAATTTGAGCTTGTTCAAATACTAATGGGACAAAGTCAGTAAAGAGAAATATAAAATTTGGGAGAAATTGGGAATTAGTAGGGCAAGTGCCCAGAGAAGGTAGCAGGGATGCGGTCCAGTAACAAGGTAGTGTGATTGACCTTAGAAAAATGTCATAACTTGTCTAAATCAAGAATACATCTAGAAATTGAAGGAATCACAATAGTAGGATGAACAGTTAATGTTTAGGCTTCAATTGAGGCTAGTATCAATCTGTACTAGTGTGCATTTTCTTCTGCAAGCTTAGACTTTCCGAGGTATGCTGTGCAACAAAAAGACAGTGGAAGGCTAGTGTTTGGGATGCTAGCTAGGGAATAGGAGTTTAGTGAGTGAATTTGGTGAATTGTTTTGAGTGGGAGGAGGAGCAGGATCTATAGGAGGAAATGTCCAAATCGTTGGCCAGCATGGAGGCACTGTGAAGGTTCCAAGGCTGTGGAGGCAGAGGCAAGGGATCTTCAACACTTGAATATTAAAGTGATAAAATAATTGGGGATTGGTGTATACGGTAATGGAAAAAAGTTGTAGAGAGCAAATTTCTTTGTAAACAAGTTCCTAAAGGGTCGCACTAATGGAGGGGGTGGCGGCTGAACGATGTGCGAGAACTGCACAGACCTGGTGGAGATGTTAAATGAAACGCATACCACGGAGCGGCGGGGTGAGAGGTGTCTGGAGACCAGGTCAATGAGGGGACCACTGCCTAGTGGGAAGAGACTGCAGTGGCCAGCCAGGCTGTCCTACTTAACCCCTGACGCGAGGGCGCCGTCCAGGCCTAGCCGTTGGATCCTTGCTTTGAGGCGGGC